ATTTGTTTCCTACCTTTTTAACGAGCGATGGTAATGGTAGCCCACAAATTGTTAGCAAGTCAAAAAGAAATATCCCAAGCATATTCAGAATAATAGGTAGTAAAAGTAACACTCTAAAGAGACAAAGAAGTGATGTACTCAATGACATCATACTGCTTGAGAAAGAAGCAAAGAGAGACGGCAAACCGAATATTCCTGAAGCATATGGAAGTAACGGGCCTCCTCTTGCACGCCAAGCATCTAAGGCAGGCTTCTTACTTAATTCAAGATACTTAGGCCCACTCCTTGCTGCCATAAATTCTTGCAGATTTTCGTTCCCCCAAGGGAGACCTTGGTTTCTTGACTTAAAAATATTTATTTAGTCAATATTTTCTACTAATTTTCATTTCATTAGTACCAATATCAGCTAATTTTCATTTTATTAGTACTAATATCAACATTTAATTTACTCATATTTTAATAGAATATGGAACCACCGAAACATTAAATTAAATTAAGTCACGAGCACACAAAGTGATGATTGGTGGCTTCCTTTTCCATGGAGTCTGGAAAGATGCTTTCACCTTAAGAATCTAATAATAATGTAAGATATGCAAGTGAACTAAAATCAAGCACGTGATCGTACTAAGATTGAATTATCAATTTTAGTCAATCTCAAAAAAAAAATATTATTAGTATTTAAACAGATCAAATATAAATATCACATGTATTAACAATAGAAGAATTTTATTTAAAATGTAAATAGAGTAACTCTAAAATACAGATAGACATATATAACATCACCCGCACTCAAGATCAAGCTTATCGAGGAAACTATGTACTTGCTCAATAATGCGAATGAGAAGGCGAACCAATGCCTACGATCTAAAAAATGTTAGGAAATGATGAGTATAAAATTTAATGAATGATAATACATACTTTAATCATACTAAAACATATGTTGTAAAATATGCAAAACATATATGTATAATTTACATAGTGAACAAAGCATATATATCGTCGAAAATCATAATATATACCTCATATATCCAGAAACAAATTTAAAAAATAAATTATTGAGCTTTAGAAATGTAAAACATGTGAGAGTACTAGATCATATTAGAAATCTCATCTTACAATAGAGCGTATTGTGTCAGAAACATCATAAATCACATATCAAATCAGAATATCATCTCAATGACAGAGCATATCATGTCAAAAGTATCAAATATTGCATCAAAATCTCATATCAACAAATCACTGACAAAGCATATTATGTCAAAATATATTGGATATCGTATCATAACTAATAGATCACCAATCAAATACATTAGGTTGAAGTATGTTGTATTATAATACATTATAGTATACATCCCATCATATAATTTCTTTATGAACATAATTTATAATAGAGGCAAATGCTCAAATCAAAGTGAAATGTCTTAAAATAGCTCACTACATTTTCAAGAATCAATTTCAGAATAATTGTCCCAAATTCAATGTCAAACTGATAATTCACATCATAACAAATAATTTATATTTGTCATAAAACTCATTTTTCATAATAAATAAATAACTAAAGTTGAAAGTGCATATATAGAATAAATAATATCACTCACAGTACAAGTAAAAACCGAGAGATTTAGTTGTCTATAACAATGACTCAATGATCAAAATGCATATCCTTGTGTGTATCCACAATCACAAAAATATAATATTAATTTTAAAATTGAAACTTAAATCAATTAAAAGCTCAATTGCTTAAAACAGTCTTTAATCCAATTTCAAAATCTTAACACACATCTCGAGATTCATTATCTAACATCCGAACTCAAAATGGACCGAAAATATAAACTAATTTCAAGTAAAACTCTTTAAACTGAACTGAAGTGAATTGGCCTCAAATACCCTTGAACTAGGTTAAACTAGGTTTAGACACCATTGAACTAGCCAAAACTGGCCTTAAACATCACTAGACTCGCCTGAACTACCTTTAAATACCATTGAACCGGTCTTAACCACCATTGAACCGATCCCAAACGCCAATAAATTGGCCATAAAACCCTAAATGGATTAGACTAGTCTAGTAAACATAAAACCGAACTAAACCATCATGATGCTTATTAGAACCTAACAGAACCAAGCCAAAATCGTTCAAAACTAGATTAAATTAGAATGTTATACTTTCGGACCGGTCTAAACTGACCGACCTAACTTATTTTAAATTGAATTGTTTCATTGAATCGTTCAGACTTGGTTTGGCCAAGTTGAGCCGATTTGGCCGGGTTAGCTCAGACCCAAATCCCATTTAGATCTTTCTACTTTGCCTGACAACCTAGTTCTTAACCCAAAATTTGCAACCCCAACCTGATTGCACAAAATTCAAAGGCAAAATTCTAGATTTGGTCCCGTATCTTTGGCTCCTAGACACATTTGATCCTCTAAGTTTTGGTTTTCCATGTTTAGTCCCATAACTTCAGTTTTCCACATTTAGTCCTCTCACTAGCTTTCAACTATTTTTATAATAAAAAATTGATCAAATTTAATAATTTTTTAATATATATTCTTAAATTGAATTAATACAATTTTTTTATTAATATATTATTAAAAGTAATATCTTATTTAAATATGACAAAATAATTAAATTTTCATTTTTAAAAAATAATACTTAATAAAACTATTAAGTTAATTTAATTATATTTTTAAAATAGTGAAATTTTCAAGAAGTTATTTTTATATAAAAAAATAAAAAATTTAGATTCTTTTTTTAAAAATTTATATATTAAAAAGAATATTTATTAATATAATTACGCTAATAGAAATTAAGCATTTACTAATTTTGTTTAACTGAATTAAATTTTCATTAATACTTACTAGAGTGTGAATAGCATTAAAGGAATATGGCAATAACTAATTTTTTTTTTTAAATTCAACTGTTCCCTCTTGTTTAGGAATGTAAATGAATTCAGGTTTTACGTCTTTTCAAATCATTTTACCAATCTGAATTTGGATTCAATTATTGCGATTCAGTTTAAACTTTAATTAAAATCCTTATTTTGTAATTAAAAGAAATTTGAATTTCTAATATCATATTTGTCTCATGATGTTCATAAATATGTGTATGCGTGCGTGTGCAAATATACATGAATGTAAATTTGGGTAATAGTATGAGTATTTGGATAAAGTATATAGTTATATAAATATGGTACACAAATATAAGCATTTAGATATTTGCTTAAAACCATATAAAAATTACATTTGAAGCTAAACTCCAATAAATTCATCAAGTTTAATTTGAACCTGACTCAAAAACTGAATCGCAAGAATTTACTCCAAATTCAAATTGGTTAAAATGATTTGAAAACTCGCAAAACCTAGATTCATTTACACTCCTAAATAAAAGGGAACAACTGAATTTAAGAAAAAACTAGTTATTTCCATTTTCCTTTAATGCCATTCACATTCTAGTACGTATTAATGAAAATTTAATTCAGTTAAACAGAATTAGTAAATACTTAATTTCTATTAGCGTAATTATATTAATAAATATTCTTTTTAGTATATAAATTTTTTCAAAAAGAATCTAAATATTTTTATATTTTTATATAAAAATGACTTCTTGTAAATTTCACTATTTTAAAAGTATAATTTAATTAACTTAATAGTTTTATTAAGTATTATTTTTTAAAAATGAAAATTTAATTATTTTGTCATATTAAATAAAATATTACTTTTAATAATATATTAATAAAAAATTTGTATTAATGCAATTTAAGAATATATATTAAAAAATTATTAAAATTGATCAATTTTTTATTATAAAAATAGTTGTAAAGCTAGTGAGAGGACTAAATGTGGAAAATTGAAGTTATAGGACTAAACGTGAAAAACCAAAACTTAGAGGATCAAATGTGTCTAGGAGCCAAAGATACGGGACCAAATCTGAAATTTTGCCAAATTCAAAATTAGGCCATTTACTTTGTTCTCCAACCACGGCCAACAACTGGAAAATAAATGGTGGCGATTGACAAGCACTTTTCGACGTCAAATCGAGGTAGAAACTCGCTAAAATTGGAGATTGTTTTTTTCCTGGGAAACTGAAATTGCGAACTTTTGGACCTCTCTGAAAAGCTAAGGAAGGGAAATTTGTCAAATTACTTGAGGGCTTTGCTTCTACGTACCAATACGCACATTTATAGCTGATTTCAGGTGGTGAATTTTCAACAAATTGCATCCAATTAGCTGCCAAAGTGGCCGATTGAAACTTCCATGGTTCTCTCAATTAGATTCCTCGAAGTCCATTTTCTCTCAATCAGTGCCTAGGTTTTTTAATTCTGACCCCCTACCTTTAGCACCTCACTATATGATATTAACTCTTTAATTTTTTTGAATTAGGCCCTCACAATTTGTAATTAAACCTCGATTATTCTAATTCATTCAGTTAAGTCCTTCAAATCTCACCATTTGGCCCCTAGTTAAATTAATTCATCCAGTTAAGTCCCTCAACAGATTGAGGCTATTACACAAATTTATATTACCGAAAAAAGAAAACACCATTCATTCTCATGTATATTTACTTCTGAATCCATTCCCATATATTATGTGAACCCTCATCCAGGGAGGGAGGGAGAAAACTAAAAGAAAGAAAATGCCTTATAAACATGCCTTCTTTCCTCAAATTATAACAGTGAACCTGGCATCACTAGATTCCAATATAAGCTAACAAAACAGCTCCTCAACAGAAACTTAGAAGTATCTAATTACTCGTCTCTTTCATACATAGAGCCATCTTTATTTACCAAACCGCAAATATATACACCTACTCTCTCCAAAACATTACCAAAAAGAAAAGGAAGAAAAAAAAATTGAGTCTGCCATGGCAGCTGCAATCTGTTGGATTTTCTCTCCTCTTTTTCTTTCTTTGCATCTCTGGAAGGGGAGTCTGCTTGAAGAAACCATCCGTTCAAACGTGCACGGGGCGGCTTATTTACATACAAGGCCACTAAGTTTGAAGCTATTTTTCAGGTCAGATCAGCCATGGAATCGGTCTGTCCTCCGTTAATCACCCATGGATGCCCTGAATTCATCAACAAATCACAGTCAATACATAACCTCTACGTAAATTAGATCTCAAAGATGGGTCAACATACAAAGAAAGAAACTTACCAATAAAAAATAGTTATTATAGGAAAAGAAAGTGAATCAATAAATATAACCAAACATTGCAATGAAATTTCCTTTTCAACTTGGACCAGAAAAGTCCCCAGAACCTCAAACTAATTCAGTCTAGTACAGGGTTGGAGTTGCTGGTATTTTATTTATTTATTACATTGACGGACACAAGAACAATCCTCCGCGTTTCCGTTCATCTTGTCTCCAATAAAAATACTAAGTTACGGCTTTTCCGGAAAAGTTCAAGGAAATTGTTGATCAGAAAAGAAGAAACGATAAAACAAAATCGTAAAACAGAATCAATTGATCGCGCTCTACTTAGTTTACGTAATTTCCGGCGCAAATCCAAAGAGAAAACAATTTCTCAGAAAAATTATGCCATTCAGTTACTGTTTTTCGAGTAAGATTAAGGAAATTAAACTTCATAAAAAGATCAGGCAACAGAAAAAAACATTGAACAGAACTATTTTGTTGCCCTTAACTCAATTTACTAAAATCTGTCATCAACCTAACAAACATCATTTAAGTTTCCAACAAAAATATGATTTCATGAGCTTCAAATTGAGAATTCATGGTACCCTATATGCTCTCACAAGTAAAAACAAGACAAGAACAAAGAATTCGAACAGTATACTTACTCAGAACTTGTTCAGCCGATAAACGCCTCGAGACGTCTTTGCAGATCATCTTCCGCAACAGATCCTTGGCTTCTGGTGATACGGACCGGAAAATCCTTGGCGGAAACCGAAGATTGGCACGTAGCACCGCCTGGAAAGTCTCCGATGCCGTCTCGCCGTAGAACGGAAGAACACCAGCGAGCATTGTGTACAAGATCACGCCGGCACTCCAGATATCAACCTTCTCATTGTATTCCCTGCCGGATAATACCTCCGGAGCCACGTAGTACGGCGTCCCTACAATTCCAGTCATCGTCCGCGTCTCGCCGCCTCCAAACCACTCAGCGGATCCAAAATCGGCCAATTTCAATCTATTCCGAGAATCAAAAAGTATATTATCGGGCTTTATATCGCGGTGTGCGATGCCGAGGCGGTGGCAGTAGGCAATGGCGGAGATCAGCTGCTGGAAAATTGAGGCGGCGTGAGGCTCGGAGAAGGCGCGGGCGTCGTTGAGGCGGTCGTAGAGGTCGGCGGAGTCGCAAAGGTCAGTGACGATCTGGATTGAGTGCTCGTCTTCGTACACGTTGTGAAGTTGGAGGATGTTGGGATGGCCGCCAGAGAGAAGGTGGAGGATCTTGGGCTCCTTGTCGATGCAGTCGCGATCGGTGGCGTCGGTGAGGAGGCGCTTGTCGATGGACTTGCAGGCGAAAGAATCCCCGGAGGCGGTGGAGAAGCAGCGGTAGACGACGCCGAATCGACCGCGTCCGATCTCTTCGCACAATTGGTATTCGGAGTTGAAGCTCTCGCACATCATTCGTTAGGTCTCAAGTCAGGTTTGTTTGGTTTTGGGGAGGACGGTTGGGGACTAGGGAGGTTTTATAGAGGAGTAGTGAGGGAATATTCGCTCGTTGGGTTTAATTTAATTAGTTTAATTTGGGGTGAAAATAGATTCTACCTTGCGCTGCAATTTCCTGGGAATTTTAGGATTCCCGCCCGGCTGGTATTGCTTCTTTCATGAATTACGTCATTTTTATTTTATCTTTTTTTGACTTTTCACTTCAAACGAATTAGCGGCAAAGTTTTTAATAAGTTAATTATTTTTATTTTCAATGATGCCTACATTAAATTAACATTTATATTCTTTTTTAAAAAAAAAAAATAGACGCGACAAATTTATTTATTTTTAGATATGATAAAAATAAAATATAAATACGAACAATCTGCATTTAATTTTTTTATTTTAAAATAATATAATATTTATAAAATTTAAGGGAGGGCCGTGATTAAGAAATTAAGAGTAAAAATCATTCCCAGTCTTTTTAAAATTTTTTTAGGTGACATTCAATCAATTTTTATTTTAAAAAACTCTTCCTCCCTCTATTTATTAAGAATTACTTAACGATTTTATTAAATAAGAGATAAAAATAATTCAACTTCACCTGTTAGTTTACTCACCTAATTAAAAATTAAAATATTATTTGATTTAGTTGAAATTTTTCTATGTTTTTAATTTTTTAAAATTAAAAATTTAGGAAAACTCAAAAAAATCAATTTTTGATAACTAAGTTTCACTATTTTTTATTTAAAAAAACTTATTTTATAATTTTTTAGTTTATTTCAACTTTTAAAATGAGCATATTAGAGAACAAAATTGCTAAAATATCTTTCTTATTTTTTATACATACAAATGAATTTTTTTAGAAACACTAAATAAAAAATCTAACTCTTTTAAGAAAATAGTAAAATCCAATTCTTAATAAGTTAATTTTTGAATGTTTTGATTTTTTCATAATAAATCAAATAACATAAATTAAAAATGAGAAACATAAATAATTAACTATTTTTAATTAATGAAGTAATCTATTAATATTTTTTTGGTCATAATAAACCAGAAGATTCCAAAAATTTTAAAATTAATTTTTAATGAATAAAATAATTTTTTAAAATTAACAATTTTTAAAACTACAAGGAACAATATGTTTATTTCAATTGTTAAAATAAAACTAAAAAAATATAAAATTAAATTTTTTAAAATTAAAAAATAATAACACCAAACTATTAAAAATTATATTTTTTTAAGTTTTTCAGAGTCTAGTTTAAAAATAAAAATAAAAATAAAAAAATAATTTTTATATGAATCAAATAAAATTTTAATTTTCAATTAAATAAACAATCTTGACGAGTGAATTAGGTTTTTTTTATTTTTTTATAGAACAGTTAAATAATTATTAATTAACTGTTAAATAAAAGAAAAAAAATAATAGAACTAAGTAAACTTAGAGGGATGACCAATTTTTTACCGTAAAATTAGATGTCTATAACAATATTAAGGGTAATAAATAAAACATTATTAAATGATGGCAAGTTGTTATTAAAAAAATATTTTTTAAAAATAATTAATTTTAGAAAAGAAGATTGTGAGGTGAGGTGGACAGCTGACAGGAGGCGTGAGGTGTCACGCGTAAAAGGGAGGCAGGTGGTATTTCGGGGTGAGAAGCATTCCTTCGTTCAAATTCTTTTGTTTTTTTTTACACGTCGTTATAGTATGAGGTGTCAGTCCACTACCACAAAGTTCTAATCTTCTCTCTCTCTCAGCCCGAATCCGAAGTCCAGGTTGTTCCATTGCTTTTGCCTATGCCACACTGCCACTCTTCATTTTGTATGCCACAGTCTGCATTCAAACTGACAAGCTCGAACCACTAAGCAACTCCAACGGACAAATCTCCACCGCTTAAAAAAATACAAACACCGAGAACACTTGTTCAAATATTCTTCGAGTCCTAGAGAGTAGACTGATAAGCGCCATCAGAGGCAAGGGTAGATGTGTAGATGCGATGTTAGAGATTAATCCAGTATGCTATAATTCTGCGATTGACTGACACTATCACATGTACCCAAGTTTTTTATAACTTATATTTAAGTTTTTTTTTTTTTTTCCGGTAGAATTAAAGATATTTTTATATTAATTTTTAATTTGAGATTAATTTTTTTAGATTAATAGCATAGAAGATTAAAATTCTTTCTAATAAATATATTTTAAAAAATTCATGTTTGTATTTCTCACACTTGGTGAAGTAGAAAGTGCTAACCATCTCTATTAATATTTGTTAATATATTTAAATAGTTTTTACTAGTACAAGTGAGCATTTGTTTAGCAATTTTTTAATTACCAATAGAGTTGGCTTTACCGCAAGGCATGTAAAGCAATTGCTTTAACCCCCAAATGATCTACATCCAAAATATTAGGATTTTATAATATTTTATTATTATTATAATAATAATTTAAAATTTTTAAAAAATAACATTTAATATTCATATTAATTAATGAATTACTATCTAATCACTTTTTGATAACTCTTGATTTTTCTCTCTCATTTATTTCATAATTAAAATCTTCTATTTTTCCAAAATAATTAATTTTAATTTTGATATTCATTTATCTTAAAACTTCTATTTTTCTCGATAATTATCTCTTCCAACTGCTATCTGACATTCTATTTGTTTCATTAAATATTTTTAATTTCTCTATAAAATCAAATATTTTGATTTTAAATTTATCACTTCCATTTGTTTCTCATCTAGAATAAAACTCCAAACATCCTATATCTAGCATCTCTCTTTTCCACAAGACAAAAAATTGAAAATTTGATATAATTAAAAAAGGACCTCTGAATAAAAATGATAAAAAAAACTCCAATTTTAAGTTTCACTACAGACCCCTCCAAGTCATTAAAGTGCCCGGGATTACAGAACCCTTGTGTATTGAAACTTAATAGATAAGGGTCCTCCATTGAATAATATGAAATAAATTAGAAGAAAAAGAAGATAGGCTTAGGGCATGGTCCACCATAATTCGCTTGAGCATCAAGTAAAAGAGAGAGCAATTTTATTCGAAAGTCCTCCGAGGAACTGGTGTCCCTGCTACCTTAATTTAAAAGAAATTTATGCCTCACAGGTCTTGTCAGTGGAGAGACGGTGGAGTATGAGGTGGCACATCAGATTCATTATTCAAGGGAGATGAAGATAAAAGAGTCTCACTGTCCATTGATATTAATAATCTCTACTGTTTCATAACCAATCTTTGTACTACAGGAGGTAATTTAAAACATCCAGTACAATATAGAATTATTCACAATTTTTTATTTTAAAATTTAAATTATTTATTTATAAATAAATGAATGAAATTGATTAATGTATAATAATAAAATAATTTAAGCTAAATCTACTCACTGCTCCTCTACATCAATAATGTAGTGAAATCAAATGGGAGCTAAGCCAAGTGGCAAGCAGGAGGGCTCCACACATATAATCCATTGGAAGGTTATATATTATTTAGCAATCCCTCTCCCTCTCTCTCTCTATCACTCTCTCTGTCTCTCTCTCTCTCTCACACACACACACACACTCACCTTCCTTTTCAGAAACCCTTGGAGAGAATCTTCTTATGTGAATGGTTGCTCTTAGAATTTAATATATATATTCATAATACTACTCATGTATAAAATATAATCAATCATTAATTAAATTACCGCCCACAGAATTTCTTTTAGAAGTCCCTAGAAATCAACAAGAGAGAGAGAGAGAGAGAGATGAAAGATGCAAAAGAATCATCACCAACACCTAATTATGAATAATGCCAAGTGTTTTGATCATGGGTAGGAATCTTCGTCTTCATTTTTTTTAATCGAAAAATATGTTGAAGGCATCATCATGCCTTTAGTTTGATTACAGATGAAGGCATCCTAATTTTAAATAAATAAACAAATGAAGCAGGCCTTTGCTTTTAGAATAAATTAATGTTGATAGTGCTGTATGAGTTAAGAAATACGTAGATTTCATAAAATTACATAAAATTAAGAAGGAAAACAAGATGCATTGAGCTCCACTTCAACAATAAAATCATTTTTCAATTTATCCATTCTCAAAATTAGTATTTTCTTATATTATAATGAAGTAAGATTTATACATACACAATCAGAGTCAGAGTGTAAATTCCTTTTCATTACGAGAAAGGATGACACTGTCGTTAAAAAAATATTAAATAAAATTTTTTCTCATTAGCTAAACCAAATCCAACTTTTCTTTTCCTTTTGAATATCTATTACTTTCACTTGTATACTTGCTTTACCCCAATTAAGGACTTGAGTCTCGTATAATTAGTCTCATCCTATCGGCCACACTTCCGCAGTATTAGTGCATTTAGTTTTTCAAAATAATGCATAAATACTATTCACTCACATAATCCCAGCAACTAAACAGGACACATTAGAGCGGAGTCGCCTTTGAGGCAAAACCACAAGCACCTTGAAGGGAGATCCCTGAAGGAGCAGAAAACCCGCCCCCCCCCCCCCCCCCCCTTTTCCCATTACAAGGCACAGCGATTACATTCACAATCGGTGCAAGTAACGTAAACATGGAGAAAAAACAAGAAGAAAAGTCGGCTTGGTATTCCATATGGGCATCCACCTACCTACCCCGACAACACCGGTCTCTAATAATTCTATATTATGCATGAATAGTCATTAATAAATTTATTAATTTAATTAATTACTCTCTCATATTTTATGAAACTAGTAGCTCATGGGTCAACTGTATCCTTGATTTGATTAAACTGTAATAAAAAATTATATATGTAAAACATTAATTTAAGTGTGATAATGAGTAGTGAAACACAGCAAGAGTTTCTACCATGGTTTGAACTCAACCCTTGACAATATTTTAAGAAATTAAATCACCTAAGTACTACTCTACGCAAATTATTGTTGAATTTTGGTTTCTATATATAAATAATAATTGGAATATTATTTAAAATAA